TGAACGATGTTCGACTTTCGTCAAATCCATGACACAGACTCAGGAAAAGAAATCTAATGCGCTACCACTTTGAACGGACTTGAGCCACTGAGCTGGTATAGTGGTGGGGCACTCACGAGACCTGTCGAGACATGTCACAGCAGGCACAGGCCTGTTGCTCATCCCTTTCATATTCAGGTAGATAACTGATTGAGTGGCCCTCGTAGGTCAGTTCCAAAATTTGGCAGATTACTATTTAATTCAAACACGAACAGGATGTCAAATTCATGTGAAACTTGAATGTAAATATTCTCCATTTCTCGGTTTTCTTGGAAAAATGCCATTAATTTTTCTAGTTCTGAGTCCAAAATGTATTGATGTGTATGCATCAATGCGACATATCTCAGGCGCTGTGGTGTCGTCAACGTCTACATGCAATTCTTGAGCCGCCTCAATTCCGAAAAAGACCTCTCTGCTGATGCATACAAAACATCGTAGCATAAAGCCCGTCTTTCTGAGGCAAGTAATATATCCATGGCCACATATCAAAGTATTTTGCATCGAATACCCAACCCCCTATTCTAGGGTAAATATTTTTTTTCTGCTGAAATGGGCCACTTTCATCATCCATAGATTTCTGGGCAATCTTATACATTGATTTTTTTTCATTCCTGAATTTTCTCTATATTTTGCTTACTTTGGTTTCGTAATGAAATTAAAAAGCGTTCCTATTTGAACACTTCTATTTCATGGCATGGCGCTGAACCTCTTTCACAGTTCTACTACAAAAATGTTTCAAGCCAGACTCAAGACCGAAGGGGACTAACTCCAGAATTTCCCTTCTTTTCAGGGAAAGACTTTACAGAACAGAGGTGAAGTTTAATTGGATGGGAGGTCCTGAATCTGAGAAAAAGAAATTCCCACTGGATGCCTATTAAGTGGACCCTATCACGCCATTCCCCATTCGCCATTAACCTCCCTTCAAGCTAAATTTACTTTCTAAACCACATAGAATCCCACGAAGGTTCTTAAGTCGCATATTGCCCGTATACACTTCACTCTTAGGTTTAAAAAGTGGGGGAGGAGAGGGGGAAAAGGTACACTTTGCTTCCCCATCTGGAAAAGTGAGGAGCGTTTTGTCACCCCCCCCCCCCACTCCTCCCAAGGGTCCTACGCCCTTGGGACCTGCAAGTTTTCTACGAGAATGTATTGATACACTGACTGAACGTTGGGTCAACATTATAATGTCACTGACTGGAGCAGTTCCCAGACTTCTTTTTCATTAACCCATTTGCTGAAGCACAGAAAATTTCCCGACTAACTGGAATCCAGAACGAGGTATTTTAAAAGTAGTTATGACGTGTAGAAAACCGATCGAACTTTTCCCAGGGTATGTTTTATCCTTGCTCGATGCGGACGTAGTGATTTTCTATACTGTGAAAATGTACGCGACTCACCTTGATGGCTCTCTCGACCCATCGATGGGTCACGACCCATACTTTGGGAACTGTTGACTTATTGGAATTCTCACTCCTAAGCCTTATAGTACCAGATATTGTCTCAATGCTGGAACTATATCGGATAATTTTGTTGCACCTTGCCCAATATTGCCAATATCGGGTAAATATTGGCTTCCCAACATTGCCATTCATCATCGATCCGATATCGGACCAATGAGATGATCCAATGGGCACTGGAACGTTTTGGGGGAAAGTTGAAGTTCTACTCTAGGCCACTAGATGGAGGTGTGGGTCTCCCATTTCTCACAGTATGCGAAAATGCCCTTCCCTGAGTGGAGAATGATCATTTTCTTTCCACGGAAGGAAAAGTATACTCAAGCATGCTCATCCATGGGACTGATGTGCGCATGGGCAGGAAATTATGCAAGTGAGGGCAGTACTACTCCTGGAGAATCACGTGCCCCCAGCATGGGAGAACCCCTACTCGTAATTAACTTGCAGCAAAAAGCAGCGCCAATATTTACCCTGGTTGTAATGCCTGGGTTTCGAAACCCAAAAAGCCTCACCGAATCCTATAGGTTAGGATCCCATTAGGACCCTATAGGGATCGGTTCTACGTGTTTCGAAAACCTATAGGAAAAGTCTATAGGTTTTCTATGAGACTTTTTCGTAAGGGAGTATTCTGCTCAAGTATACAAGTACAGGTATTTCCTATTCCGCTAGCTGATGTGCTTTAGTCTGTGGATATGAACTTTGTTTTCGTGTTTTCCCTCCATGTTGATCTGCAGTACTCATGAGTCAGTTGTTAGTTCCCTTGGACACTGGGTTGTCAATAGGTGAAAATTAAGTTGTCCATTTTCGCGAAAATAAGTCTCCTCATACAGCACATTCTTGTTACGTACTGGTCTTGGGTTCAGCTTCATGTTTGAAATTCACGACTTTATTTGCTTCCCGTCTCTCTTTATTTATAAAGAGAGACATATATATAGACATATTTATATATAACATACCATATTACTCGATGAAAAAGGGTGCTCACGGAAATCGTCGTAATTCCTTTTTCATCCGTTTGAGTTCAACGAGTCGTCAGTTAAATTCTCTCGAAACGCTCTACAAAAGTTATGACTGCGATTAGAAAAGTTGCAGAAATAAAAAAGTTATTCAAAAATCAAATAATTACGATTCCTTGAGACACCGTGTACTTATAAACTAGGTTTCTTTTTTGTTTGACCATCAGACCATCAGGCTGGTATAGCCCTGGGCGACCCCTCAGGGTAACGATATGAACCCTTACAAACTGGTATGATCAAAAATTTCCGTTCCGTTATATCGTTCCTTCTCCCTCATTTATATCGTTCAGTTCAACGTTCCGCTCTAGGTGAAATAAAAAATTCCGTTCCGGTTTAAAGTTCCGTTCCGTTTCAGCTCCTATGCTCTGGTTTGGATACTAGCTTAATGGCGAAACATGTTCCAGGGGCTTTGCAGGAAGCTATTTTGGCCTACACTCTGACGGACGAAATGTAGGAGCAGGAACGCAACCAGGAAAAGATGCACAGCATGCCCCGACTAGTCACAGCGGTTATTTATTTCAACGGCGGTCCTATCTCGTATTAGGCTTGTTAGTCTCCATTACTCATGCTGTCTGAATACTTTTGCCAGGGCAAAATATATCAAATGAGGGTTTTGGTTGGCTGTTTTCTATGGCAGGAAGTAAGATTCGTATATTCAAGCAAAAATGTTGTAATGTTGGATATATACACGATGTTCAGGATTGTCTTTTTTTCAGAAGAATTTTTCGAGCTATGCATTGTCCCGTTACAATGTTTATTGGAGGATCATTACACTTTAAGTGCAGTAATGTTCTATGCTTAATCATCTCAAATTTTAATGGGAGTAATTATTTGCAATTTTTCGCCTTTAAATCAATTTTAATGAAATCAATACACTAAGATGCAGAAGTCTTTTTCCCTCGCATAGGACAACTTTTTGGAAGGACATCTCTGGAAATTTCTTGACTGATTTTTCGAGAACTTTCAGGAGGTGGAGAAAGGTGTATGTAGCTGTGTAAAAAGCTAATCGTCGAAAAACATTCTTGTGTTGGGAGAAAATATCCCTTCAAAGAAATTTTATTTCGCCGAAAACGAAGCGATCAACCATTTTACACTTCTGGAACAATGGACATCGATCTCCTATCACAATTGCTCTCTGGCGAAGATCCCCGTTCGGAATGTCAAGTAAAAGATCAATAAACAGGGAATAGTGAGAACATATGCCGTATTGGCTGACCCCGCAATATCACCGCCGCCAGCGACAAGATTTCAAGTGGCCAGTGGATTAGACGAAACCATGAGACAACGTAGAAAGAACTGGCGCAAAATTTGCTTCAGAACCGAGGTTAGCAAGTGTCCCGATGGACGGTACAACGCAAGCTCCAACGGATTTGCTACAAGAGTACTTTGCCCTGCGACGGCAATGTTGACACAAAAGCACAAAGATGAGCGCGTCCAGTGGGCAGTTCGACACCAGAACGACGATTGGAGCCGAACGGTATTCACCGACGAGACCTCCTACCGATTATTCAGGAATACGATTCGTCAAAGAATCCAAGAAGTCGAGGTCGAGCGAATCCCCCCCCCCAAAAAAAAAAAGACAAAAGATTATGATGTTGGGCGGATTCGGTGTTTAAGGCCTGGTCGGCTGTCATTCGTTTGACCGAATAATGGATGGTCCTTACTACGTTCAAATCCTTCAAGATCACCTCCTCATCGGTAGCGCTTGACGACCGTTCGGTCGACGCTGGCAACTGCAGCGAGACCACGATCCCAAACACAGAAGTCAAATGACGAAGCAGTTCCTACTCGATGAAGTACCCAAAACAATCGAATGGCCGTCGAACAGTCCGGACGTTGATCGGATCGAGAACTTCTGCTCTATCCTAAAACAGCGTGTCGAGGAGCGGAAACCATCAAATCTCGACGAACTGGACAGCTATCTGCACGAAGAATGTGGCAAAATCGACTTGGCCACTCAAAATCATTTTGTCAAGTCGATAAAAGAACGATGTTTGGCTTACTCAGAGGGAGAAAATATTTAAAAAAATAATGAGGAAATGTATCTTTCACTCATGAGCCTCCTTTTCAAGAATCAGTTGCATCCAACTATCACTTGTAAAGTTATGGACACTTAACTTAGGGTAGACGAAACCTGGTACATGACTACATATTGGGATACTGCGCACAGAAAAATTCAGACTTTGGATGTAAATGCCCTCGGGGGCACAAATTTCAAAGGGAGATGTTTTCAAATAATTTTTTGCATCAGTTAAACTAATGAACGTGGAAAGCTGAAACTTTTCATAAATGTGACTACTGCGACAAGGAGTTAAGGAAAAGGTTAAATCTCGGTACATCCCCTGGGGAATTTTTTCGAGGGGTAATGTATTAAAGAAATATTTGTCTTGGCGAATTGAAAAGAAATGGAAAGGTAATACTTGGCACACGTATTACTGACGATGTTATTATTGAGTCGACGGAGTATTCAGCTTTCATGGTGCATCCCATCCTGGCATAGCTTTTGGGTGGGTCGGCTTTTCTAAACATGTTTTTTCACCAGCGAAAATGGCAAACGTATAAGGTTGAAACTGTGTGGACATGTAGTCCTGTAAGGATAGTTTTCGGTAAATAAAAAAAGGTACTTTTCCATTAAAACGCCTGAGGGCACATATATTGCAAAAGGCGTATTTTCTCGATCCAGCAAAACAGGGCGCTGGAAAGTTAAAACTTGCCAAAGAAGAACCTGATGGATAGCTGAGTAAAGAAAAAATTATATTTTTATTTTATATAGAGGATCTGGAGTAGCTGACTGACAGACATAAGTCGCTATTCGCATGCTGAGTTCAGGAAAAACTCTACTTTAGTGATACATGACATAGGGGCGCACATTTTTGGGAACATATTTCCAAATACTGTAGTTCTCTTTGATTCAATCAAACAGAGAGATATGGGAAACTTAAACCTGGCAAGAACGTGACTGCTGAGTCAAGAGTCAAGACAGTTAGTGACGTCAAGAGGCGATTTCGCCCATTTCGATATCACGTGTCGAGGTCGAGCGTTCCTTAATTTTAGGGTAGGCCTAACCCTCTTAAAGCTAAATACACTATTTTTGTATTTTGTATAATTTTTTTTTACTATCCTAGTTGCTTACTGTCTAGTACCTAACGTCAACATTGCCCCCCACCTTTTTCCCTGTCCATGAAAGCATCTAGTTTCTTCTTAAAGATAGTCACAGAAGGGGCAGCCACTACTTCGTCATCTAACGCATTCCACGCGTTCACCACTCTGCAAGTAAAGAATTCCTGTCTCGACCTGAGCCGCACCTGCGGTTTGCGCAACTAAAGTCGGTTACCTCTCGCACTTTTGCTGTCATCAAACTGGAAAAACCTACCACACTCGACATTATCTATTCCATTAATTATCTTGACAGCCTGGATGAGATCGC